CAGTACAAGGGAATGATGGATGCTCTTGTGAAAATCTACCGGCATGAAGGGATCGCAGGACTCTATCGGGTACAAAAGAGTTTCTATGACAGCGTACGGGTCGTTTTGTGCAGTCGGTGGGCGGATCGTTTCCTTTTAACAGGAAATAGTTGATGAAACTCCCCTTTTTGCCACTAGGAGAAGCACTTGTATAAGGAAATATGGAGTGTGCATGGGAATATTTGTGATTGTGTGTCAGTTGCATGCTGTGGGGTTTGTTTGTTTGTTTCATCTAGCTGAGTTAACTGTTATGATCCCTAGGGGTTTGTGCCGGGATTGTTTGGAACCTCCCATGGTGCACTGCAGTTCATGGCATATGAAGAGCTGAAGAGAGATTATAACAAATACAGAAAGATGCAATCAGATGCTAAACTGGTTAGTATGAGCAAGACACACTTTGATGACTTATAAAATGAACTGAATGTTTGGCTTCCTGCATATTGCGCCTTTTTAAAATGTGAAACATTACATTATGCTACAATAAACATTTCAAAATAGCAATGTTGTTGTCACTTTTAATTTTAGGTGTCCAAATACATTTTGGCATCACTTTACACAGTTGTATTATGCTAAACAGCCACGTTTGTCGGTTCATTAATGCGGTTTGTAGAAACTCACAGTGCATTTTGTGCTCTATTTTCTCTCTAGAATGCATTAGAATATGTTACCATGGCAGCTTTGTCCAAAATATTTGCAGTGGCTACGACATACCCGTATCAGGTGGTCCGAGCCCGTCTGCAAGATCAGCACAACACGTATGATGGAGTGGTAGATGTCGTCCGCAGAACGTTTAGGTAAGCATGAGATTTACATACTTGCTAATCTCAAGAAAGCACATTAGCAAACCAAATGTTGGGGATCTAAATAACAAAAACAAAAAGACAAACTTGACTTTTATGCTATCGAACCCTCCTGAATACCCTATAGACTTTTTAACTGCATTACATTTTATACACTACCGTTCAAAAGCTTTTTAGTGTTTTTCAAAGAAGTCTCTTATGCTCACCAAGGCTGCATTTATTTTAATTTAAAAACACAGTAAAAATTTTAATATTGTGATATATTATTACAATTTAAAAGAACTGTTTTCTATTTGAATATATTTTAAAATGTAATTTATTCCTGTGATGCAAAGCTGAATTTTCAGCATCATTACTCCAGTCTTCAGTGTCACATGATCCTTCATAAAACTTTTTTTTTTAATTATTATATTATTATCAATGTTGAAAACAGTTGCTTAATAGTTTTTGTGTAAACTTTAATACTTTTTGTTCAATTAATAGTATGTTCAAAAGAACAGCATTTAAAATAGAAATATGTTGTGTAGTTATTATAATATATCAATCATATACATACACATTTTTTATACAATATACTTTTTTGTAATATTTTGCAATATTATTTTTGTATTAATATAATAGTATATACTGTCATTTTTTATCAATTTAATGCAGCCTTGCCGAATTAAGGTATTATTAGTAAAAATCTTAATAAACCTAAACTTCTAAATGTAGTATACTTGTTACTAGAAAATGATCTAAAATAATAACATTCTTTAGAAAAGAATCAAAACAACTAGAGAACCCATAACAGGTTGATATGAGCATAATTAGTTAAAACTGATACATTTGATGAATTTTCACATCAATTTTCTGGGGTGGGTTGCATAAACATAGCCACTATGTCAAGAACTAGTTTGACCAACTAGTTAACCAAGTGGTAATCAGTCTTACTTTTCAGATTCAAATTAGAACAGTTTACCTTTTTATGTATCTGGCTTTATAAAGTTATGACCAGTGTTGGAGAGAAAGATTAGATTACTAAATTTTAAGACTAGTCTAAGCAGTTTATGCACATGGTAAAAGGTGCAGTTAAAGTACAGTGATCTTATACATAACTTTTGTCTTTCTCCTGGTGTTTGATCAGAAACGAGGGTCTGTTGGGTTTCTACAAAGGCATGGTGCCCAACCTGATCCGAGTCACTCCGGCCTGCTGCATCACCTTCGTGGTCTATGAGAATGTTTCCTGCTTCCTCCTGGACCAGCACAAGTGAACTGAGAACAGGAATAAGTGCAGCGGAGCTGTCCTGCAGGGAGCAGAGCAGGACCTGGGATGGGACGTCCCGTCAGCGACAGTGTTTGACGCCAGTGGAGGAGTCAGAAATGTGAATAGAGAGAAATAAAACATCCTGGTCTTCTCTGGAAAACTGAAATGCACGATGTTACCGAGTTCTAACAGAGTCACCTGTCAAGCAACCGATACTCGTTTGGTTTCTCTAGAACATTGGTGACATTATGGTGAATATGGACATGAGGGATATATTATGTGGCAATTTTTAAGTGGCTGTTAATTATATTCACATGCAGGCTGTTTATTTCAGTTTGTTTTATCTAATTAAAAATTGTACAAATCAAACAAGGTTTTAACTTTTTATCAAGATCTAAAGATGAATTATGTAACTAGGGCTGGGCAGTATATGAAATATATCGATATTTGTTAATTCACTGGTAATATCAAATGAAGCAACATTGTGAATATTATAACAATTATAATGTGCTTTTTATCTTAAGTTTCACAATTCAAAACAAATTTTTCATCCCTCCGTGTGGCAACGTTTGAGTTGGTATGAATTTTTTTAATGTTTTTGAAAGAAGTCCTTATGCTCACCAAGGCTGCTTTGATTAAAAATCATAAAAATTGTGGAATATTATTACAATTTAAAATGACTGTTTATTATTTGAATATATTGTAAAATGTAATTTATTCCTGTGATCAAAGCTGAATTTTCAGCATCATTACTCCAGTCTTCAGTGTCACATGATCCTTCAGAAATCATTCTAATATGCTGCATTATTTATCAATGTTAAAAACATTTGTGTTGATATTTTTGTTTTTTCCAGGATTCTTTGATGAATAGAAAGTTCAAAGGAACAGCATTTATTGAAATAGAAATCTACTGTAACATTAGAAATGTCTTTTCCGCCATTTCAGACCAAACACATACATTTTGAGATCTGTATTGCAAATATTGTCAGAAGACAGAAAAATAGTGACACCATTTTTTTTTTTAGCTATATTGCCCAGTCTTAATGGTAATTCATCAGAGTAAATCAATGGTAAAACTGTTTTATGTATATAAGTCTACTTCATGTTTACATCCATGTTGCATTGCTGCTGTGTCCTGTGCAACGGCCAAACCAAACCTCAGGCTTTATTCCTCCAATCACAAGCGCACACAGATTTACTGAATCTGACATTTCAGGCTCATTACTGACATTTGTGTTAATGAGCTCGGCCTTAAAATTTGTTATGCTCATAGGTCCCCTACCCGATGCTCTTTGAAGAACGTACTCAAGTTAGGAGTTCTTTAAAAAAAAAAAAAACTGTATTGACATTTAAAAATTAGCCAATAAAATATATTTTATACAGTACAGAGTTTTTACAGTACCTGTCCAGACTCGAATTGTTAAACATAATTACTGACAAACCTACTTTTGCTGTAGTTTGTTTTAAGAGTCTGTCACTACAATACAAGGTTATGTGATTGTTTCAGCCCTTGTTTGTAGAGGTAGAAATCAAGAGAGAGCTGTTAAACTTAAATATACTTCATTGTCACAAAACATGTGCGAACAAATGCTGCAGAAGCACTTCTTGGAAATAAATCAAGGTTGGAAGGAAATGAAGGTTCCAAAAGTTGTTTTTTCCTGCAATGCCACAGAAGAACAGTTTTTGGCTCCCCAAAGAACCTTTTAGTGAATGGTTCTTAAAAGCATTTTTTTCTTAATTTAAAGAACATTTTAATAATATACAGAACCTTTTGTCCACTCTTAGAAATAAAGGTTCTTTTTTGGCATTGATGGTTCCATGACGAAGCATTATCATCCATGAAACCTTTCCATTCCACAAAAGGTTCTTTATAGTGAAATAAGTTTCTTTAGATCAGAGGTGTTTGATTCAATTTCCAAGAAGTCCAGTCTTTACATTTCCTTCTCAGTGGAGGTCAGGACAGTACTTTTTGAAAAGAAAAGATATTCTTTGAAAAGAATAATAAACACAGTCAAAATAGTCGTCAAAGATGAATTCGGTAATTCAAGGATTTTTATACCAAAAAAAGAAAAGGAAAAAAAAATCAGTTGAGCCCAACTGGATATGAATATTAAAAATTATATTATTATGAAATGCTCTTAACAAGCTGATTAATAATGCTAAATGTACAAAAAACTTGTTTATCTGAATGGTCGGAGTCATATATGTATAACAGGTAAAAATAAATCTATTTGTTGCATTCGCCATTCTCATTTTCTGCAGTGTTTTATTAAAAGTATCAATCTATTTTGCTGCTCACTGTGTTCCTGCTAGTGTACACTCTTAAAAATAAAGGTTCCAAAAGGGGGGTTTTCACAGTGATGCCATAGAAGAACCAGTTTTGGTTCCCCCCAAGAACCTTTCAATTAACAGTTATTAAAAGAACCCTTTTTTTCTGAGTGTGAATAATAATTTAATAATCTAAAGAACCTTTTTCCACTGTAAAGAACCTTTATTTGTAGTCAAAATAACCACATCATCTGTAGCTCTTATAGTGATTTACGTCTCTGAAAAGGGTTTGAATGAAGCATGTTTGGTTCTAAATAAAGATATACAGTAACGCTGAAAGATCATCATAAACGACCTGAGCGTTGTGGTATGTACAGATCCGTTGTTTTGACACGCTGCTCACTTTAAACTGCGGAAACGGTAAAACTGTAACTGTAAAATAGTGCTGCCATTGACATTCTGAACCAGAACGCGGACCGCCATTTGAGGACCCTTGCTTTAGATGATTGAAATGTTCAGCACACTAAGAAAAAATGGTTCTTTTGAGAACTGACCACTGAAAAAACTAAGTCTTTTTGAGGAACTTCTTCTATGGCATCACTGTGAAAAACCGCCTTTTTGGAACTGTAAAGAACATTTTGTGGAATTAAAAGCTTCCATGAATTTAAATGTTCTTCATGGAACCGTCAATGCCAATAAAGAACCTTTATAAGAGTGTAGTACAAAGCAATTCATCCTCGAAGTTTAAAAGTGTCATAGGACAGTAAGTGCTTGGACGTTTCTGGACTCAGCTGCTCAGAGGAAGCTCTTCTATGATCACGCGGGAAACAGAATTCCAGCCGGTGGAAGCGTCTCCGTGCAGATAGTCGCCGCAGGTTCCCACCCAGATCGCAACATCCACCAGGCCTTTCCGAACTCCTTCACATAAACCTTCAACTGAAACAGACGGCGTGTCAGTCTGACCATTTCTCACTGCGTCCATCTGATAACTCTGCTCTGGTTCTCAGATGACCATCTCAAGGCTTCAAGTAAAAAACCATTCGAAAAACAGAGATAAACAGACATGCTTTATTGCACCCTGAGGGGGAATGAGAAATTCAGAGACACCCTTATCTGCTGTAATTAATCCACACCAAACTATTTGCAGTGTTTAGAGCGGAGAGCTTTTCAAAGACTTGCTCTGTAGCACAAGAGCCATAAAAAGCTTTCATTGAGTGTTTTATTTATCATGCATCACTGTTAATGGACCAACGGCTTGAACTTTATATTACAGGTCAGTACTGAGGGAAAAACAGCATGGGTCATTCTACACAAGCCTGCCTTTTGTGCTCCTCATTAACATATGTATGGCATAATAGACAAACCGACTGTCATTATCGCAAAATAAACCTAAACGCCAAATATCCTGTGTCATCCTGAAAGGCGTAATTCTGCAAAATGATCAGATGCTTATTATTAAAAATATTTTACAAATATATATATAAACAAAAACTTTGCTGAAATAGAAAATATATTTTAAAATGATTCATTTATAATGATTGAATAATTAATATTATTTTAATAATAATATATTTTAATATTCAGTTGAAGCATATATATATAATAATTTTTTTATACTGAATATTTAAGGATTTATTTAATTACAATAAGTTGTTTAAAAATTAATATAAATAATATTCAATAAACTGGATGGATGGATAGAGGTATTTATTTTTTCTTATTTTTTATAGTATTATAATTTTATATTTTATATAATTTTATAATTTAATACTGAATATTAAATATATATAAAATAATTGTTATAACTTTTATTTTAATTACATATTTATTAATTCATACAAATATGAATATTATATAATATATATATATATTTTTTTATAATTATAAAATATATTATATAATAATTTTCATTACTGTGTGATGTGTCCTGACAATTGTAAAAAAGGACTCTAATAAAAATACTTTTTTTCTTTTTTCACATTACCAAAACAATTGATGAAATGTATGTATGATGTAATGTTCATGAAAATAATGCTAAATAATGAAAATATATTAAATTTTATTGTCTTTTGTGACAATAAAATGACTAAATAACTTTTTTTGTCCCAGATTAAACATCAGTCGAGTTGCTAAGATTTGAATCATTTCCATCTTACTTCAAATAATGCATTACTCAAAATTCTCTCAAAATGACAATCGTTCTTTCAGCAGAACTCTGCAAGTAAATGCCTCCTTTTCCAACTTGTCTTTCCAGCATTAATTTATGCAAAATTATTAACACTAAAACACATTTTTCTGATAGAATGTTACAGATCTTGCAAACATGTATTTTAAAAATCTCCATTTTTAAACTGGAATTTCATGAAGTGCCATTACAGGACTGACGTGTGCTGTGGCACATTGTAAGGGGTTGTTTTTGGCAGTCTTTACATCAGATTTGCAGTTCAGATGTCACTGTCCAAGCAAGCAGTTTCTTGGCCCTTACCTGACGTGGTTCTGTGTATGTTGATGGTGGAGTTGAATTCTGGACTTCCCTGGTCCAGGTAAATGATGGACTCTATAGGCAGCGGAGCGGCACATTCTGCCCCATTAAAAGTGAAGTACCAGCGCTGGCAACAAGCTGTCTTACACTTCAGTCTGAGTGAGCCGCTGAACAGCACACGGAGAGCGCTGTCTGCACGCTGCTTAGTGAACGTACACTCCTGAGGACAGGAACACAGGAAGAGCTGATGAGTCTGACGCCTGCTTTATTACACACCTGCTTGAAACAAGCACATAAACCAAACATATATGCAGAAAAAAAATACTGTGGAAGTACTGAATATAGTGACTGTATAAGTATAGTATTTTTTACCATATAGTATTTTTTTTTGTTTTTTACCATTGTACTGAATGATTACCAAGGGGTTTCCACACCTTTTATGACTTTTCCATACATTATGATAATTACTAAAACCATTTTATAGAAAATGCACTTACAATTTTGGCAAAGAAAATAGTCTAGAGTTGAGAAAATCTTTCCATGTTAAAATTTGACATGATTTCTTTATTTATTATTAATATTATGAATAATAAATCATTACAATTATTTACTCATTTCAAATTATTTTCAATATTGAAAATGAGAATTTTTAACCATTTTAATTTGATAAATTTTAATAAAAAAAAAACATGTAAATACTAACATTTTTGACGAAAAAAAGTACCATGGTAAAAAAAAAAAAAAACAGAAAACTGCTAGTACATTTCACAAATAATTATGAAGACAGCAAATTACACATTGAATAAACATGACATTTTGAAATAGAAAGACTGTGAAATAGTATGTTCTTGTAAAACATACTCCAATAATCTTTTTGTTTACAACTTCCAAAAATATTTTTTACAGTGTACCAGTTTTTTTATTGTTGACTAAAACTAAAAGTTGTTTTCTGCAATTGAAATAAAGCTGAAATAAAATAAAATAAATAAATAAATATTACATAAAAAACTTAAAAAAAAAAAAAAAAAACGTAAAATTTGAACTTACTAAACTTTAAAAACTAGAAATGTTGCTTTAGCAACTAAACAAAATAAGTTTAAGTCATAGTACTAAAATTACTCTAAAGCTAGAACTTAAAAAAATAATTACAGCTATAAAAAAATTATAATAATAAAAATGACAAAAGCACACAACAAAATTGTTCAAACTAAAAGGAAAACGAAAAAAATAAAAACAAATAAAAGCTAATACCAAATATTAAGTATACAAATAATACTAAAATAAGAATGCACTGGTCTTTTGGACATACATGTATATGCTTTGAATAAATCAGTAATCATCATTGTGGCCTCTTACTGTAATTTTGCCCAGGTCAATGCCGTAGTTGAGAGAACTCCAGGCACATTGCTTGTAGTTGGGTTTCCACGGCTCTTCAAACCTCTCCGTCACACATTCACCCTTCTCTCCTTTTGCACCATCCCAGCCCGGTAGACCGGGAGTACCTGGAATTCCATTCACTCCTGGATTTCCGTCCCTTCCCGGGGTGCCTGCTGGACCCTGGAGGCAGCTGGAATACTGAAAACATACAGAATTCAACAGGAGCTTTTTGGCTTGATATTAAACAGCATATTTTGTAGCTTGAAGTGCCTGTAAGAGGTATTAACAATCTCATCTAACACTAGTCAGCGTAATGCATCTGGAATGAGCTCTTATGGTGTGGTCTCTGGTTACTGATGAAAATACCATGCTATGGCTAATACTTAATATTTTTGCACAGTGTTGCTAATGGGCATGGAGAAGTAGCCTATACTGGGACACTGCCTGCATTAAACCTGGTTGGATGGAGACTGAATCATCTGTCCATTCAGACTGTAACACACGGTTCTTTATTTCTGTGATTCATTATCAGTTGTTCACAGAGTCTCAGATAAACGGCTTAAATGCGGATACGGCATTCTTTGACAGTATGGCAAACTTAAACATGTCTGTGAAGTTTCAGCTCAAAATACCCCACAGATCATTTATTATATCATTTTGAAGCATGCTGTTTTCGTGCATGTCTCTTTAAATGCAAATGAGCTGCTGCTCCTCGCTCCCTTTTCCAGAATAGGACAGTGCCATTACAGCATAGTATCTCAGATCTCAAAAAACATCGGTTAGGTTTTGATAATCATGTATCTCGCACCATGTATCTTTACATGCAAATGAGCTGCTGCTCCCCGCCCCATTTTCCAGAATAGAGCTGTGCCTTTACAGCTCGTATCTGCTAAAAAACATCTGTTTTGGTTCTGATTATCATGTTTCTCGCACTGAAATCATGCGTTTTAAAGCCATATCAGTTTAAACTTCTGATAATATAAGGTTTTATGAGCGCACACATGCGAAGCAAATGCACAGAAAGCGGATGTCACATGGCATGTGAGCTCTCTTTGACACAAGTTTATGTTATAAACATGCATAAGTTACAAAAACACAATCGGTTATGTCTGTGAAGTTAAACAGCTGGGAAAGAAATCACATGTTTATATTAGATCTGTGTATTAAGTGACAGCAGCATAATATACTGTACCTATACTGCTGTCTACATTGTTAATATGACCCAAACAATAAAAGCAGAAAATCACTCACTGCTCTGGACTGAATAACCTCTATAACTGTAATAAGATGACATTTCTTACTTGAATGCTGCTCTTAAAGTCCGCATGAAATCAAAATGTACAATATTTGTTTTGTTAGTGCAAATCATTAGTCTTAAAGGGATAGTTCACTCAAAAATGAAAATTCTGTCATTAATGCGTATGCGTTGTGATACTCTCTAAAATGGCAGAAGACGGTAACTCGGGGGAGAAGAATTGTTGAATAAAGTCTTTTTTTTTTTCTTTGCGCACAAAAAGTATTCTCGTAGCTTTGCAAAATTGAAGTTAAAACATTGATGTCACATAGACTGTTTTACTGATGTCCTTACTACGTTTCTGGACCTGGGAATATTACAGTTGCGTTGCTGTCTATGAGAGGGTCAGAGAGCTCTCCAATTTAATCAAAAATATCTTAATTTGTGTTCTGAAGATGAACGAAGGTCTTACGGGTTTGGAACGACATGAGGGTGAGTAATTAATGACAGAATTTTCATTTTGGGGTGAACTAACCCTTTAAGGTGAACAATTTATCTGCGCAAGTTAATCCTCTGAAAAAAATTGTTTGTCTTGGTAATCTTTAATCAAATTCTGATCATTTGCTTCTGCTCTGGAATGGCGCTCCTGCTCTGGCTTGGGCAGAATTTGCTTAACCTCGCCCCTCCAACTGTTAGTTTGCTGCGAGTGAAAGATGAGAGGAGGAGCGCTAAAATAAACCCTGCCCTCTACTCAATGTTCCGTATCAGTTGGAAATATGTCACCATACTGAAATAAAGTCGGCAGCAACTTCCGGTTCACGCAGACTTTAAATGCTGTAGCGTAAAGATAAACATGGCAGATTATGTGCAGCTCACTCAGGGCGGGGTCTCTGCTAATACAGCAGTGTCAGTCAACAGTCGTGGGTGGGGCTTTTACGGATTCTGTGATTGGTAAACTCTGAGAACACTGCTTATGATTTATGGGGATTAAAAAGAAGGTGCAGGCGGATTTTTATCATTATAGGGTGGTTGTGTACACACACTGCCAACACACATTTATGTTCAAACAACATGTAAAAGTGAATTTTGCATAATAGGTGCCCTTTAAAACTATTAATACTTAGCATTTAAGTTAATGATGGGCGTTTTCGTAAACCTGCTTCATGAAACTTCGAATCATTTGTTTCGAAGCGGTGATTCGTTTTGAAATGTATTGAAACATTTCATTGGATCATTGCTAGGGGCTGATCTCTGCAAACCCATGAATCAGTGTCTATGTGGTTTTTGCCTGATCGCGAATCAACTTTATAAATTTGTGGACAAGTGTAATGACAAATTTGTATAATAAAAGGAAGAATTAGCCTATACTTAGTCTCTTACTAACCTGATTAACCAAGAAAAACGCCCAGTACAAATTAATAAAATAACATATAGTATTTCATATTGAATGGAATCCGATGATTTGTTAATTGCGTTTAATTACACGTTCAATAAAACATTCACAATTTTTATGCATGTTCAAGCCTAGTTTGCGTTAAATTTACACCATTTTGACCAGAAGGCGTCACCAGCACGTAGCACTTCAAGCGATTCGAAAAGTGATCATTTCATGAAGCAATTAGTTCAGTTGATTCAAAGTTTCGAAAAGCTTCGTTTTTAGGGTATGTTTACACTTGGCAGGTTTGGTTTAATTAAATTGAACTTTGTAAAAGATATTTAGGTTTAGTGTTAAAAATGACAGTGTAAACGGCAACGCTAAGCGCACTAGGACTAAATGTAGACTAAAATGTTATTTTTTGGGGGTCTGGAACAAAAGAACCAAGAGAACTGAACTACAAGTTTAGTTTTGCAAAACGTAGGCTTATTATCTAAATAGCCAACCCAAGACAAAACTGCAAGTCTGATCATTTAGAAAAGTAATAGCACAACACCCCTCAACAAGCCTTGCAGTTATTTTTGTTAACTACCTAAAAACTAAAACTATTACAATTTAAATAAAGCTGAAAAAAAAAAAACATTAAACTTTTGCATTGGCATCTAACTGATTAAAATAAGTCTAAGTTGAAGTACTAAAAATTACTCAAATAAAACTAAAAAGTAAATTAGAAACATAATAGAACTACTAAATATGGGGCAGGGGAGGCTAGGTGGCACTACCCGCTTAATACTAGCCTTAACAAATGCACTAACAGTCAAAATATGATATTATGTTATGCATGCATTTGATCTTCTACCAGAACTGGGGAAAACAACGTATTAACGCTGCAGAGCCTGTGTGAGCAAAAATGCATTTTAATGAACATTCACCGAGGTGTAGACTTATGCCAACGCCACTGATGGATGAGAAACTTCGCCAAAATGCCAGGTGGAGCAACCAGTGGGCTCTCCGATCATGCAGAAAAAGCGCATGCATAACAGGCTATTTAGAGTGTTGTGAAAATGCGCGCGCATTAGCGAAGCAGTGACACACCAAACATTTACATCTCAATAAGCGGCTTCCGAGCGCACGGGTCGAATATGAAGCGATGTCGTCGCCGTAACCCAATCTCGTCTAGCGCGAACAATACACGGCTCTGAGCGCAGGAGGTCTGGCTTTAGCATTAAGCAGCTCTGCTGTCACCTGAGTCTCTTCTGCAAGAGTAGGCCTAATGCAGCTTCTAATCAGCATGCCTGCGAGCAGAGAGCTGTGGAAATAAGGGCCCTTAAATAGGTAATAAATCTTCCTGATACAGGCCACGGGCAAGCCAGGATGTAAAATGTATTCATATTTATAAGCTTGCAGTGCCGTGGCCAAGCTAAAGTCTTCAGTGCGTTTGGCTCCGCTGCTTCTTATTGACAGAACACTCCTGCAAACAAGGCCTTGCGATACACACAGCCTCATTTTCTTCAGTGGCTAGTCGTGCCAGGTTCATTAGTGATGCTTCCCCGACTGGTCTGAATGAGAAATTCACCCACCATATAATCTACCCACCGCGAGCAAATTCAAAAGGATTACCGCGCCTGTTTTTCATTACAACGATGAATCGACTGGAATGTTTACCTGATACAATCATTTACAATAAAACACTTTTTTGGTGATAGAGTAACTCTGATAAAGGAGCTAAGCCATTTTTTCCCAGTCCATGATCAATAGAGCCCTGGATTTGTTTAATTTCACTGATTACAGTTTATGATAAAACATCCTAACTAATTTGTCGTAGCCTGTAACCTTTCCTGAAATAAAGCGGGAGCTAGTCAACGCCTTGTTGTTTATGCTAGGCCATGTTGGTGGGACAAAGTTGTTATAAAGTCATTTTGAGAGCAAGAAGTATATTAACTTTGATTATAGACGTGGCTAGTAACAATATGTCTCAAAACTTTATTATAATAACCTAGATAAGTTTGTTTATTCATTAAAACAAATTTGTAGAAAGTTAGCATTATAGTCTATCACTTGCTCACCAATAGATCCTCTGCAGTGAATGGGTGCCGTCAGAATGAGCATCCAAACAGCTGATAAAAACATCACAATAATACACAAGTAATCCACACCACTCCAGTCCATCAATTAACATCTGGTGAAGTGAAAAGCTGTGTGTTAGTAAGAAACAAATCCCATCAAGACGTTTTAACCTAAAACTGTCACTTCTGGCCAAAATACAAGTCCATAATCCAAATAATTCCTCCAGTGAAAAAGTCCATTCCCTGTTGTCTTCTTACATCAAAATCCACCAGCATACTATATTAGTTTAGAACTGTTTTTGACTGTTATAATATTGACTGTTGACATATTATAACATCTTAATGATGGATTATTTCTTTTTAATTATAAACACAGCTTTTCCATTTCACTAGACTTTCATGTACTGGAGTGGTGTGGATTACTTGTGGATTATTGTGATGATTTTATCAGCTGTTTGGACTCTCATTCTGACGGCACCCATTCACTGCAGAGGATCCATTGGTGAACAAGGTATGTAATGCTAAATTTCTCCAAATCTTTTCTGATGAAAAAAAAAACAAAACAAAACTCATGTACATCTTGGCTGGCCTGAGGGTGAGCACATTTTCATTTTGGGGTGAACTATTCCTTTAAGCCATGTTATTGTTAACCAAAAGAAGAAGAAGAAGAAGAAAAGAAACTGAAATAAAAAGTAAAACTATATTGAAATTTAAAAAAATAATAAAAATTACTATAAAAGCACATAAGAAAATGACCAAAAATAAAACTAAAATATAAAAATTAAAGCTAATTAAGAACATTAATAAATGCAATAATAGTACTGTATATAAATAATAGTAAAATAACACAGAAACAAACTATACAAACAGAGATATACATGAATGCTTGGCTAAAATTTTGCAAGCGTTTTGCACACCTGTTGATCATTGTTAAAATCAACATGAAATGCCTTTGGGGAAAGCTTAAATCATAAAAGTGGTGTCACTGCATTGATGAATTGGAAGAGCTTAACAAGTAAGAGGCACTGATGACATCAGCTGAAGCGAGGTGGAGCAAGTTGTAACATTTTGATAAATTATCGCAAAAACAAACATTTAGTTGATTGAAATAACGTACACTGACGAATCATTCACAATGAGACTAAGAACTTGCATTAAAAACGAATTGACAATAAAATAAACGCAATGACTGAGGCGTTAACAACCTTCAGTACTCGAGGGGGCGCTAGAGTCACACACCATTGTGCTAATGGCTGCTATACCCCTGAGAATTGCAATACTTGCATCATGTTACAAATTGTGGTTGGACGGATTGGGCATTCCAACAAAACTTGAAATTAAGCAATTGTATATAGAGGTTTTGACATTCACATTCTTGAATATGTTTCAGGCCTTATAAAGATCAATCACATCACTACACAGTCTTAAAAGGGCAACATGATTCTACACCTCGTAGAATGAATAACTTTAAGTCTTGTTATGGCTTGCTGTAGCTTGAGAACTGGAATATCAGACACACATGGATTGCTGGTTATGTCTGGGCTATTCAGAATCAGAATCAGAATCAGAATTAACTACTTCGGTTTGGAACGACCCTTCAATATGGCGGCCATGATTGTTTTCACTCCGAAGTGCTCTTCGGAGGGCGATATATCCCATTTGGAACACACCGGATGTTCGAACTTGAATACTAGCACACTGCATACTGTGCATTCTATTCAAAAAATATGCGAAACTGAGTGTGTAACATTTTGGTGATCTTTTAAGTTTATTTTGCAATAAAAAAAAGAGTCAAAACTCTAAAATTGCAGCTAAAGTTAAGTTAAGGAATAGTTCACCCAAAAATTATTGGAACGCACCGGATGTTCGAACTTGAATACTAGCACACTGCATACTGTGCATTCTATTCAAAAAATATGCGAAACTGAGTGTGTAACATTTTGGTGATCTTTTAAGTTTATTTTGCAATAAAAAAAAGAGTCAAAACTCTAAAATTGCAGCTAAAGTTAAGTTAAGGAATAGTTCACCCAAAAATTAAATTTTGCTGAAAATGTATTCACCCTCAGGCCATCCAAGATGTAGATGAGTTTGTTTGTTTCTTCTTCATAACAGATTTGGAGAAATGTAGCATTACATCACTTGCTCACCAATGGATCCTCTGCAGTCAATCCATTGAGGATCAGAGGATCAGAGGATCCATTGGCGAGCAAGTGATGTAATGCTACATTTCTCCAAATCCGTTACAATGAAGAAACAAACTCATCTACTTCTTGGATGGCCAGAGGGTGAGTACGTTTTCAGCAAATTTTCAATTTTGGGTGAACTATATTAAGTCAAACACAGTGCATTGTAGAATTATTCTATGCTGCAAAGCATAGGTATCATCCAGGTATTGGGTGCATACAGAAAAATTGCACACTATGAACAGTATACAGTATGCATATTTCAGAAAGAGTTACCTAGTCTGGCCTGAAATAATCACTAATAGCGAAACAGACTAACGTTTCAGCAGTTGTACATTTCAGTGCTATAAGAGTTGTTACTCCCAATAAAGAAACACAATTCTGGTTAGTTCCCTGCAAACGGTTCACACTTAGTGGGCTCTGAACAGAGTTTAAACAGCTTTGTCACATCCTTTTTAGCAATCAATCCATTGTTACCACTTGGTTAACTGGTCCCTGTGACTCACATTCTTCTCACATCTGCAAAAATGAATCTGGCATTGTTCAATATTGGCAAAGGCTTTAGTCAATAAGAAAAAACTTGCACTGTCTGCAAGAAATCACAGTTACAGTATTGATTTCTTGAAGAGACAGAATCAGCCAGCATAGTCAATTATTTTATAGCCAATCATACTGCACACTTAAAACTGAAGTGTCTGATTTGATGACCTCTTTCAGACAGTTCAAAATAAAACCAAGAGTTTCTAGAACTTCTGCAAAGAAGACCAACTTTCCTATCTGAAAAAGCAAAGAGCAGATTAGACCTCTTTAATAATTGTTTTGGAGAAAAAATGTAAATAAAACCCCCCAGAAATCTCACATTTCTCCTTTAGATGTTCAAGAGAGATCTCAAACTGTACAAAGTTTGCAATCAAAAGTCAGTAATCTCAGTATGATCTCAAACATTTTTCATCAAATTATTCCAAAAATAGATGATCTGAGGCGCTATGCGCATTTAGCTCAATACTCTTCAAAGTCAACACTGACTTGAATTTTATGAGAAACATCTTAATAATTAAGTGAAACATGATTTAGTCTCAAGAGCAATTAAAGTTTCCTATGGGTTTAAATACATTACATAAATACACAAAAAATTACATATAAGGTTATCTTGCCCTTTGAAGATCATGTTTTGCAAGAGTGGCAAAAATAATTCAATAAATACTTAAAGTCTTACTTTCTCCATGTAGTCAACATCCTTCTGGCGCAGGCCTCTGGTTTTTAATTTTTCTGCTTCATAACATGTAAACAATAAGCAGGAGATGATCAATACTCGTGTCTTGAAGTGTCCCATATTTGAGCTGAGAGGTTAGAGAAGACAGGGCTGCTTACATCTGTTGAGCTCTAGACATGAGAGAGAGAGAGAGAGAGAGAGAGAGAGAGAGAGAGAGAGAGAGAGAGATGGGGCTGATGTGATCTCTCCAGGGACCAATTATTCCCAGACCGCCGGTGAAACTTCCCTCCACATGAAGAATCGGATTATAATGGGTCATGATATGACATAAAACAAGAATCAATATTTCTGATGGTCTTATGAGTGGTTTCTCAGAATCTACTGATGTTTTGCACAGGTGAGATGACCTCTCACCCTGAGCTTTTTTTTTTGTCTTTTCTCCTCATCCAATTATGTTGTAACAGTCTTTTTATGTGTCTCAGAGCGCTCTGAAAAACTGTTTTTGTCCCAGCTAAAAATGTTGCATTTAAAGGGATATAGTTCACCCACAGCTAACAATCCTGCCATTGTTTACTCTCCCTGATGACTGTCCAAGTCTGGAATTTTTTTCATCCATTGAAAATAACAGCAAGTACTTTGCTGAGTTCATGGTGCTCTTGCATGCAGCAAAGGAGAAATCACTATAAAAGTACCATAAAAGCAGCCCTGTGCACTGTATTCATGAAATCTAAGCCAATATTTACTGAAAACAGGTGAAAAAAGAAAATGAAATTAAAATAATTCAATAGTGCAACCAAAAAACCCCCCAAAAAACAAACTTTAAATCTCAATCTGCATTTGCATACATTTAAATATGCCATGCAAATGTGGTTTGAGAGTTTTAGTGGGTGAGTAAGATTTAAATAAAAACATTTTCCCTGTATAATTTAATATTTGCAGGGTTGATTTTTTTAAGGTATGCTGAGTGTCTCTAAAGCTCACAACATGAGTACATTTCATAATGACTTTTTGATTGCTTCAGTTTTCAGCGAATGTTCTCCCAAAATAGGCTGATGTCCTCTGATAATCAAGCATTTTTTCTTCATTTTTCCCATAGGGAAGTATTTTAAAAGTGTAGGG